TTTACTTGTCCTGCCTTGACTTTTCCGTTGTCCTGGCTTGAGTTTTCTGTTATCCTGGCTTTTCGGTTCTTGTCCTTCAATTTCCCAGAAGATTACTTGTCCTGCCTTGACTTTTCCGTTGTCCTGGCTTGAGTTTTCTGTTATCCTGGCTTTTCGATTCTTGTCCTTTAATTTCCCAGAAGATTACTTGTCCTGCCTTGACTTTTCCATTGTCCTGGCTGGAGTTTTCTGTTATCCTGGCTTTTCGGTTCTTGTCCTTCAATTTCCCAGAAGATTACTTGTCCTGCCTTGACTTTTCCGTTGTCCTGGCTTGTCATTTGTTGTCCTTCAGTGTCTTAGAATGTCACCCGTCCTGTCCTGACTTTTCTTTCGTTTGGTGTCCTTCAAAGTCTTAGAATATCACTTGTCCTGTCCTGACTCTTCTTTTTCGTTTTGGTGTCCTGGTTTCGCTTTGCTTGTCTTTCAGTTTCCCAGAACTGGAAAAAAAAAAAGGAGTTGTCTATGCGCCACGCGTTCTCCGAGGATCTTGCCTTCTAAGACATCGAAGCAGTTGTTGGAACTGCAAGTTCCACAGAAGCACTCTTGGCAAAGCAAGCGCAGGAGGCGAAGAGATTGTTGTTCTTGAAAACCTCTACCGCGACCACTCATAAGGCCGAGGTCCAACCACCAGCTTGTTAGATGCTTTTTCTAACACTCAGTTGATATTCCTTTATTTCTGGGCTTTGATCATGAACTCTTAATACAAACCGTTAGCTGTCGGTACTAGCTCAACCCTCAACTCTACTCAATATAATGCAATTCAATTCTATTCTAACTGAAAATGCTTTGCACCAGTTTTTAAAGGCGACGCTAAAGGTGACACTAAACCTTCCTCCACCCCAGCCCTTCTGATCATTTTTAAAATAGAAACCTTTACTTCAAAAGGGTAAATCCTTCAGTTTTTGTGCAAGATACAAAAAAAAAAAAAAAAAACTGCTATCCATATCGGAGGCCCTGCGTACACGATAAACTAAATTGAATATAAATAATAGTGATATTTAAGAACAATTAAAGATAGCCATAAAAGGCTATGTAAAGGACTGAAAAATTAAATTACAAGAAAAATTATGATCGTCACTCACCCCCTTGGTACAAATCTCTTTCTCTCCCCGGCCTCCCGCTACCATTTTTCGCTGCGAAAGTACTGAGCACTCGCTCCCCCAAATTACACCTGCATACCTCTTTTCTTCCCAGAAATAAGTGTTCTATTTTTTTAGTTTAATATCTAGACTAGACAAGACCAGATAAAACCAAACTAGCAGAAGCGTGTAACACTAGACTAGGATATACATATGGTGAACGATCCTCGCAGTAGATAGCGCTATTTAAGCAATAGCGAAAATCAGACCTGAAAAAAATCAGGCCTGTACGGTATTCGAACCACTGACCTCTGCGATACTAGTGCAGCGCTCTACCAATTGAGCTAACAAGCCAACTGGGAGCAGGCCGCTAAGTTGATTCGTAATAAACCCGTGAAAGTGATAAATCAGATACAATGAAATTTATGAAGTTCATATATTTTGAACTGCGGTATTAGATATATATATCATGTACGATCCTCGCAATATATAGCGCTATTTAAGCAATAGCGAAAATCAGACCTGAAAAAAATCACGAAAAAAATTAAGAAAGGACTCAGAAAAAAATTAAGAAAGGACTCAACTTTACTCAGAAAAACACAGAAAAAAATTAAGAAAAGACTCAACTTTACCAGACTATACTGGAGTAGACCTTTTTACCCAACAGGAGAGGACCGGAATTTGCTTGTGAGGACAAAACCAGATCAGATTGGACAAAACCAGATCAGCCTGTACGAGACAAGATTACACTAAACAAGAAACGACAAGGTAAAATTTAGAGAGAAACTTAAGACTTAAACAAACCCGCCAGACTAAACTAAAATAAACGAGTGTAAACGAGCAGACTATACTAGGCTAATCTGCATTAATCTAGGCTAGACAATAATTAACTAGATCAAGGCTAAACTTGATCGGATTAGATAATTCTAACCAAGACTGAGGCTAAGTTAAATTTGGTCAGACTAACTTGAAGAATGGACTGGTCAGATACTCCCAGGCTACGCTAGACTAAACTAGAATAGACTAAACTAGGTCTAGACTAGACCAGACTAGAATAGACTAGCAAAGCCTATTTAGCCAGCTACTTTCACTATTTCTAAGGTTTAGTGGTCTTTTAATCCTACAAATGCGCGCGTGATACCAATCGAGATTTTCACGGTCTTCAGTAAGACGTCAGACAACTATATGACTGTTACACCACATAATCCGCAACTTGCAGTTCCTCCGTCCGCTGACTAGTCTGTAATCCTAGACGGGCTCATTATGTTTGTAAGAACCAACCGGACATGGCCACGATGGCCTCTACACTACAGAAGGCTGTGTGTATTGTAACCGGAGGTGCTTCTGGATTAGGGCGAGCGACTGCCCAGAGACTCGCAAAATATGGAGCAAAAGTAGTCGTAGCCGATCTTCCCTCAAGTGATGGAGAAAATGTAGCGAAGGAATTGGGTGAAAGTTGCCATTTCGCACCAACTGATGTGAGCTCAAACATTTTAACTTTTTCGTAATTTTTTTGCAAGCAGTACACTCGCACTTGTACAGAGTTTCCTGAAAATGTCGTCACATATAAAAGATCTTACGTTGGGCGCTTCTTAAATATTTTCCACATTATTCCTTGTTTAAACTGTCAAGAACTGTTCACTGGGCCTTTGTGATTTTGGGGGTGTGCCTTATATCTATCACTGAACAGATTGACAGTGACATAAATTATCCTATGACCCATCCAGCCCCACCCAGGCAATCCCATAGAAAGCCATAGTGAAAACTGATGTGTGTATGGCTGGATGGGTTGATGTGAGTAGGCCTGGAAATAAGTCGTCTGGCCCTTCTGCACTTGCGCCACTTTGTTGCAAAAACTTAAATGAAAACAGAAATGAGAGAAAAAGTTGTGTTTTTTGATAAATTGGGAGTTTCTTGTTCTGACTTGAAAAAATAAAGGAAAATTTTTGTGTGCTCGTGAAGCTGTATGTGCCTGTCTATTGCATTCTATCTAGGTTGAAATTTTCAACACTTAGTGGTCATAAGATAAAATGCTTATTGATTGAGTTAGGCCAGGCTGGACAGGAAAATATTTGGCACTCTGCAGGGGTTTCATTAAGGGCCAGGCACCGGGCAAATTGACCGGTTTTGAGGACGGCTTTGCCCACCTGATTTGACCATCTGGAGGAAAGTTTATCTTATAAAGAAGTTCGGTTCAAAGAGTTTTGCCTGCCTGTGAAAACCAGTTGCCCTCCTGCAGAAAACATTAATGAAACCCCTGACTCTGTCATGAAACCTAGTCTGTCGGTCATGGGCTTGAGTCAAATGTTTTCCTGTCCAGTCCTCCCACTCGGTTAATGAGTACATAACCTGTTTGTTAAATTGAAAAAGTTTGTGGTACTTTCTAGGTTACATCAGAAGCTGACGTCCAGCAAGCTATCCAGTTAGCTACTGAAAAATTTGGTCCCCTTAATGTAGCCGTGAATTGTGCAGGAATAGGAATAGCTGTGAGAACTGTTTCCAAAAAGGGACCACACCCACTTGATAAATTTGAGAAGGTCCTGAAGGTAAATCCTTAAAATGTGTTCATTGCTAGAAGCTCCAATTTTTACACATTTCTTGTTAATTAGTCATGAAAATGTGATATTAGATCAAGACCACCACTTCTGCCTGATAAGTTGAAGTATTCTTGTTAGTGAGGCATTCCCATTTATGTTCCTAATTACATTTTTTGTGTTTAGCACGTGCATTTTTCTCATTTTTTTCACATTCTTTCACTCATGTTGATTTATATTCTGTTAGATTAATTGTATAATTTTGCTTTGTTTAATTTCATTTTGAATAAGCTTCTCAGTAAAATTCAGCGCTAGAGTATCAGAGTCCTTGAGATCAACGTTGATTCCTTTACTGTGATCAACTCTTAGTTTTCTGTCCTTGGTATCCACAAAATCATACAACGTTTCAGTGGCGATCAACCGCAATGTGAATAAATTTTAAAGCGTGTGTTGAAACTGGACTTGTTGGCAGTTACAATTCTCTCAAAACATGTTTTCTTATATCTTAAACTCATCCTGGAGTTAAATGGTTAAAGTTGCCATTTAGAGACCTAAAATGACAAAGTGCTTGCCAGAAATAAAATAATACTTTTGTAGAAAAAACTGTTAGACAAACAGTAAGAAGAACTCATGAAAACTTGAAGCAAAAAGGGCAATTAATGGTAACAGAGGCTGCCACAATGTCATTTTCTCCCACCAAAACGTCACTGTTTAATTTCACTAATTAGAGGTCTTTTGTTGGCCAGGTTAATACTATTGGAACTTTTAATGTCATACGACTTGTGGCAGAGCAAATGTCACAAAATGAACCAAATGAGGGTGGAGAGAGAGGGGTAATCATCAACACTGCCAGTGTGGCTGCATATGATGGTCAGATTGGACAAGCTGCATACTCAGCGTCGAAAGGTGCAATTGTTGGAATGACTCTGCCAATAGCCAGAGATCTTTCCAAACATGGAATCAGAGTCAACACCATTGCTCCAGGTAGGTCATTACTTTGTATCTGTCAGTAAAGCATGTTGGTGTGTCTTTAACCCTTTAGTTCCCCTGAGTGATCAAGCCAGAATTTCTCCTTACAACATCAATACAATTTAAGCAGACAAGTGATGGGAATGAAGAAAATTATCAATGAACCAGGGTTTTTTTTTTTTTTTTAGTGGCTCCAATACCAAATTCTCCAAAACCAACATTAGCAGAATTGTAAAGCAGACAGCAAGGAGAATTAATATACTGAAAAGATTTTGGGAGTGAAAGAGTTAAATAGTATGTTGCATTATCTTAACCAGTGTCATACTGTTTACTAGCATGCAGAGCAGGTGTAATTTGGGCGAGCAAATGCTCAATTTTTTCTCAGTGAAAAATAGCCACCATTTTTATGGCAGCAGAAGGCTGGGGAGAGAAAGTAATTTGTACCAAGGGAGTGAGTGACAGTCAAAAATAAGAAGTAGGGCTGGGGTGGGGAAGTGAAAATTCTCTCCCCTCCTCCACCCCCTACCCCCACCATCCACTCTGGCTCCAAATCAAACATGGTGTTTGGATAGACAATCACAAGCTTATGAAGCTAACTTGCCCTAAAGAGACGCTTGCACTGCAGGCTAACTGTTTATGTGTTTTTTGAACCAACGAATATTTTCTAGAGTTGTGAAAATTGTTGATTTGTTTAAAAAAATAATTACTTACCAATACCGGGTCATTTGCACAGTGTTCTGAGGCAAATAACTCTACTATCACTGCCTTTTCCAATGCTTCTCGCAGTTTGCAGGAATTTAGTTTGAGCTCTCACTGGCTCTTATGTGTATTCTTTTAAACTCCGATTCACCATTGCTTTTATTTGGTTCTGGCTTTGTCAAAACGTTCCTGTATGCCAATATCTCTTGGTAGGAAATGTTGAGGTCAAAAGTTAAACTTTCAACCTTGTCACATGGCAAAGACTAGCAGTATAGCACTCAAAATGTGGGGTGACATGATATCAATACAATTGATAGCCTGACTCTACACCTTGAGACAAACAATTAAATGTTTATTCATCTATCAATACCTTGTCAAGGAAAAGTTAAAGGGAAGAAATGGGATATCATTTGATTTGGGTGTGTAAATTTTGGCCAGTTATTTTCTCTCTAATGAATGCTGAACCACACATGTGGTTCGAAATGTTTTTAGGACTTTTCCTGACTCCTCTGCTGATAAGTTTACCAGAGAAAGTCAGAGATGAGCTGGGTAAAATGGTTCCTTTCCCAAGTCGTCTAGGTGATCCTCCTGAGTTTGGACACTTGGTACAAAGTATCATAGAGAACCCTATGCTAAATGGTGAAGTTATCAGGCTGGATGGAGCTTTACGCATGCAACCTTGATGTTATTCCCTTGTCAGCAACATCTGATATGTTTTAATTTATTAGGTAGCTAGAAATGATTTCATGTGATAACTCACTTGTAGAACAATCTGTAGGTCTGTAAGTTGTGTAAGCTTGCACAACCGTGGATCTTCCAAGTAATTCACGGCAGAGATTGTCATTCTCTAGAACAGAGATGAGCAAGAGAAATGTCAATGGTTGGGGGGAGGGGGGAGAGGAACACAGTACATTTACCCTCCCCCCCCATCCTGTCATGTCTGCTGTCTCTTTGAAATACCAAAAAATAAATTTTCATACGTGTGGTTCAGATGATAACATATTACTATTAAATGATTTTAAGTGAATCAGTAGAGTGAGAAATAAATAAACATGCAGCTCTGTTGTGACTAAGAAGAGTTTTCTTACATTTTAATGGGGTGAAATTAGATTTCCATCTCTCTATATAAATAATTGATTTTGTTACAGAATCTGTGTTTTGTATTGTATTTTCTTGGTCATCTAAAGGTCAACAAATAGAAAACCTGAACTATTTTGGGTTTGTGTAATTGTGTCATGTTGAATCACACCGGAGATCATAACTCAAGAGCAAACTGCAAAACCACAAAAGGTTGTAGCAGATTAGTTTTCAAACGTGGGATTGGCCTGATCTTCATCATACAAATCATAGTTAACAATAACTAGCGAAATAATAGGCCGACCTTCTGAAGTTTGCCAGGTTTCATAACCAGTTCCCCTTTACTAACTACGTACAAATACAGTTGTTGTTGTTCTTTTTGTCATCTTGACAAACATTATGTCTGAGTTTTAAGTAACAACCTTTGATAACCAGCCAATGAAGAGACTTGTACCTCTCTTAGAGAGTAGAAGAAGTCGAGCCCAGATACTATACTAAGTTTAAACTTCTTTATACTGTGATTGATAATCTAACAACAAGAAATGAGACCCCCCCCCTCCCCTGCCACCCCACGGGAATTGTGGCTGACCTCCTGGGACTTGCCTTATGCCATCAGCGATGTTAGAGAACTGGCCCTAAACGACAACCAACTAACCAGAGACGTTATCGAATTGATTTAGGATGTTAGCGAAGTGAAGTGACCTGAGACGCTAGGATAAGGATGAGGATAATTTATTTAATGTTAAAAAATACACAGAGGGTGGTCGCCCAATCCTCCGAGCCAGAGGCTCATGATAAAAGTGTTTGACAATATAAAAGAAAACTAAAATTGTAATAGCACCGATTCAATTAGAAATAATGTATATCAACAAAAACAAAAACAAAAATCAATCAAAGGCAACCACTGCATTGACAGCCCATAAAATTTAATTTAGTTAAAAGTCTCTGGAAGGGTGATGCATTAGATGCATATTTTAGCAGCAGATGGTAACTGGTTCCAAATACGTGAGATCATATACGCGTAGTGAGCCATGAAGGAATCTGCTATTATATGAAGTTTGTACTACGTTTAGACCACTAAAAGCAAATTTAACTAGTCTTTGTAAAACAATAAAATCACTGATATTTTGACATAGTTAGTGCTCCTGTAATTCTTCCTCGTTTTCCAAAGTTTCCAATATGGCATCAAAATCGTCGCCGAAGAAAAATAAGTCGTTCATCTCCGCCATGTTGTTTTGGTTCTGTGCAGGGTCATTGGTCGCGTGACGTCCAATCGAAGCTCAGGGGACGGCCCTCTGAAGTTTAACACGTTTCCTAACCAGTCCCCTCTACTAACTATGATTTTGAGTAATTGTTTCATACTGAATTTTTTTCCGGTTGAAACAATAAGCCATTTTAGTTGCTTCCGGTTTAAACAAGAGGGCCTCATGGTAGCATCGAACACTCATTTTCACACCTACTCGCATGTGAGCTGCTCTCCGCGTTTTAGAAGGCTAGTAGACGGTAGACATTAGCAGGAGCCCATCACTTGAGCTCCTGACACTAGTGAGTGTTCTCAAAGGTGCAAAAAGTGATGAACGATTTAAAAATTTAAACACATTCGTGAGTGTTCTTAAAAGCTCCAAAAGTAATGCACGATTTAGAAATGAAACATTCGTTCGTGTCCTTACATGCAGCAAAAGTAGTGCACGATTTAGAAATGAAAACACATTCGTCAGTGTTCTTAAAATCTGAAAAAGTAATGCGCGATTTACACTGAAATGAAAACAAATTCGTAAGTACTCCAAAAAGCTGCAATTATAATTTTTCCACACCCCGCAATCTGTACACTCTGCATTTCCCACACTTTGCATACTTCCACACTCCTTATTTTCCATCTAACCGGTAATGCGAGCTTAGAGATAAAAGGTGTGCCGTATTCTGAGGGATTGTTGTCTTGTCAGACCCCGCATTTGGTGGTCAAGCGACCTAGTGAGGAGCACGTACTGTCCTTGTTTCTATTACGGTGATTTCCCGTTTCATATTTCGTAAGTAGTACAACCGAAAAACAGCGAGCGCTTTCAATATTGAACACCTGAATTGTCCTTCATGCTTTCCTTGTTCGTCCTGTGTACCTGGGAATTTTTCTACAATCGGGAGTATATTGTCTTTCACTGTATTCTTTCACAATATCGTCACGTTTTCTTCAGCGAGCTACACGTGTAGTTGCTCATATAAAAACCGCGCCCCTTGTTGTAGTTATTGCGAAATCTGCCACGCTCTCTGATTTCATCCTGTATATCTAATGTCAAGGAGTAGAATTACTTGATTTGAATCAAATATTAAATTTCCTAAGCCAATATTTGGTCGCACACTTTCTTCCCTTCAAATCTGACTTGCTATGTCCTTCTTGTCTCTCTTTTTTTCACTGTATTATTGTTGTCTTATATTGCCATTCTGTGGCGTAGATAACAACAGACGAACTCAAATGTGTTCTTGTTAAAAGCAAGGCTTCCCCCATCGTTTATGAGTTCGTCGGGCCACACTTTGCAGCGTCAGGACATTGAGCCAAATTCAGGCTTCGGGGACTGGACGCAGATGAGAGTGAGAAATATAAATTACTTCTTGAAACAGCAAAGGAACATACAGAGAAAGTAACAATTACAATGAAAGGCGAAGCTGGGATTTTTTTCTTTGAGTCTTTCATCCTGGATTTCCGGGAAAGAATTTGCAGTTTGAAAGGCGATGACAACGCTTTTACTTTACACCCCCTTTTTAGGCATTTCAGAAACAACGAATAAACGAACGTATCTTTCACGGTATGAGTTTAAGAGTGCCTTTAAAGCGAAAAAAATTCTCCTTGCATTTGCAACATGGAAGATGTCAATGTGAAAAGTGATGCAGAAGGTAAAACCCCTAATATCTCCATGCCTGGGCAAGTCCCGTAAACAACATCCTCTCAATTCTGAATGGTTGTGTTAAGTCACGCGCCAAGTATTTGATATGCGATTAGTATAAAGCATCTGTATCATTGTTTTTTTTTGGTAGAAAATCTACTCTGAACTTTAAAACAGTGTTTGTCTAATTAATACACACCTTTACATTTTGCAGCGTCTTTATTTGTGTAAAGGGGGTTAGTTTCTCAAGAAACTGTGGCGCTGCGTCGGTGGGGGTAACAAGGTAATTTGGTAATATCAACTAAGTTGAAATTGTAAATTGGCCACCGTAAAGAGTTAAAAAGCTGACGTTTCGAGCGTTAGCCCTTCGTCAGAGCGAATGATGGCTGGATATTAGCCTCGTTCTTTTTTCGCAGTTTTGTGGACCTTGACTTCGTCTCGATCCATAAAAATGTCACAACGAAGTCTGCCGAGTTTAACCGATATATCTCGCTCTTGACTTATGCTTGTTTCGAACCATCTTCGGTCGTTTAATTATTAGTGACGATTTCTTCGGATCGCGGACCTCGGACCGCTTCGAATGTTACTCAGAATTAGCACATGATCACTCTGTTTCCGTGTGCTATAGGAGTACAGCCGAAGATAATAAACATCTTACAATCATTTCAAGATGACACGCGAAAAAACATAGCTTTACTTTTCAGAAATGTCTTAAAATGTGTGATCAGCGACTCATGAAATCTTAAAGCAAATTTTTTTCTTTGAAGAGAGAGCATTTTACCGTTTGAATTAGCGAATTATGCCCAGTAGATCCTAGATCAGAAGTTGCACTTGTTACCCGAAGTTTATTAATGATTGAGTTTCAAATTGGTCACTATATTCTCGAATCATCAAGAGTACCCATAAATATCAGGGATGTGGCAGCATTAGTCATATACAGTCTGAACTGCCTATTTTTTTCATATGCTTACCCGACCAACAGGTAAGGGTTTCCACATGGGCTCAAAAATCTTTGTTTCCTTGTTGATTCTCTTTTACCAATCAGAAGTTTGAAAACTTTGACAAAGTAACAAGAAACTTCAACAACAACAACAACAACAAATCGCAAATATTAATTTTCTTATTTCATTATGATTATATCAAAAAGCACCACAGCACCACACTTTCTTTAGAAACTAACCCCCTTTTTTCTTTGATCATGTTTGCTGTAGGTGGCCTAGGTCGATATATCGTTCGACATGTCGACCGATATATCGCCTCAAAAGCTGGATTGTCAGTGTTACTTTTCCTTTCCCACTTTCAAAATATTTTAGTTGTACTTCGGCCAGTGTTGAAAATGTAAACATATACACGTGGGCTGACGGTTTACTTTCACGTTCTGACCACGTCGTTTTTCTCACTTACACGTCCCGTGAGAAGGCACATGACGCTGTGGGCGCGTGCTTGTTCGGGGGCTTAAAGTCTCTTGCAGAACCGCAGCGATTACACATGGGGGAACCCAAGGGATCAAAATTGGTGTCAAATTGATTTTCACTTCAGTAATTTTTCATCAGCCCTTCAAAGTGAACAATTGACGCTTTCCACACCCATATTATTTCCCCCATAAAAGGATCGGAAGATGACAATTGATACTAAAATAACTGCCAAGCCCACCCGCAACAGCCAATCACGATTCATTGACGTAAAGAGCTATTTTTAACACCACGTGGGCTAAATTGGCCAATTAGAGGCTAGTGTATACGAAGCAAGATGGAAGGTTTACGTTTAAGGTGAACTTTTCTGAAAGGAAGTCCGAGCTTGTTGCTAGAAGGGTTCATTATTAGCTCGTCCTCTAGGCCTAAAATCCTAGCTTCATTTCAATATAGATTATCAAGGCTTTCAAATGAGTGAATCAGGAGTGGATCTCGACTTTGATCTTCTAAGTCCCGACGACTTCGGTTCGCACGAAGAAGTGTTCGATTTTTACAAGTTGAAGTCTAAGATTCCGGATCCTCCAAGGTAAGCCTGCTTATGTTATACTATTAAACATTTTCATAGGAGATTCAACCAAACCAATTTACTATACACACTGTGCAAAATGTAAAGGTCGGAGTTTCCTTGCTTCCTGCTCCAAAATTGAAAATGTTTTTTTAGCTGAAAGCGTATATTGCCTGCGCAATCCATCGAAACCAGCCAGCACAGGTGATGAAATCAGCTGTAATGTACTGTTATTTCACACGCAGAGAACTCACTGCGTCAAATACGTAGAATTTTATGAAAGCTCGTTCGAAATTCGGTAAGAATTTTTCACCAACCCAGCTCGTCTCAGTATGCTTTCTGAAATGTGTGGTCGGGGGTCTTGTGTTTTATCGTGTCGTGAACTTGCGTCTTTCATCCTATTGGTTTTAAATCCAGCTCGTCCTGACATGAATTTATATTTTGACATAACACGTGAAAAACATGAATACTTCTCAAGAAAACACGCATTCCTACTGTTCTGATCACGATCACTTTGTGTTAATTTTCCGAGTTTTCATCCGTAATGGTCTGAAAATTGCATACGTGGAGAGGAAACTCGACGTTTCTCGTTGTTTAACGGAGCTTTGTTCATTTGCATAAGTGTAGTTTTCTTCTTTATTGAAACGGAAAGTTGTACAGTTATTTTATCGTACAAAGTTTGAATTGAATACTATACTCTCGGTCTTGTACAAACGCAAGTCAGTTAATTTGCTAGTCTTGACCTTATTTGCGGTTGTGAATTTTCTTTCTTGTTCACGAAAATGAAAAGAGAAGCGCTCTTTTGTTTTCAGTTTCGGTTTTTAATGGTGTTTTTTTTCATCGCGTAGCAACATTGTGGTTTGAGCTGTTTGTTCTGTGTTTTGCTTTCCCCGATCGTGTTACATCTAGATCGCCTCTTTTGCTTACTAGGTAATATAAAACAAGCATATATTGGGAAAATAACTTATGCCAACTATCAGAATAGTTGTTCTTTAAGCACGTGTGATTGTTTTGGAGCTTTTCTTGGATAGTTTTTAGTCTTTCAACAATGGGATTAAGGATTGATTTGTTTTCATGCTATACTACAAACATATTATTTTCATGTGACTTTCACATTACTCTTCAAGATACCTGAGACCAATTTTCTGGCTGCAAGCTGAAATTTCTCGCGTATCAATTTCCTACTAAATTTTTGCTATTGGAATTCTAAATTTTTTGGACAATTTTGCTCCCTTTTTGGCCTCTGTAAGAGAGATTTCGGATTCTGGAAATTTTTTGTGCAAAGTTTTTATTTTCTTATCACTGTGGGTATAGTATCAGTTTTAGCTGAGCTTTATTGGAACAAATTGAATTACCATGAATGATTGATATTCTCAAGGCTACTGTTTCTCTCCACTCATTCCCGATAATAAAGGCCATGGAATTATAAAAACAGACTGATATGTAAAGTGGAAATTTCAGTTGCCACTACTGAACTAAAGCCTTTTGGATAAAAAGTGTGAACTGTGGATTACTG